TCAGATATCTCACAAGCACCCAAGTCAATTCCTGTCAGTGTTTGTAATATAGGAATATGTCACTGAAACCTCTCTGTGTGCATCACAGCTGTTGTCTGATTGGGACCTTTCCCCTGTTCTATCCCTGGTTTTGCCAAGCAGTCCCTGCTGGTTAATGCCTTGCAGGAAGCCGTCCTACTTTTCCTTGACTTTTTGACAGGGGCAGATTTCACCACTGACATTCATAACAATAAATATGGAGGCTATAGAAGAGGTTAGAATTTAGACTATCCACTCCTTTCTTTGCACAGTAGAATTGGTATCTTAGAAATCAGCAAATAATCACTCAGAGAGTAATGACTAATTTATATCTGGGACTATTTAGACAGATATACAAGCTGTTATAAAGTACAGGCAAATATGCATGTGTAAGCAACAAATGCATGTGCAAACATGCAGCCACCTGATATTCTGTAGTCAAGGTAAAAGCCTGGCGAGAGAAGAAGGAAATGTTCTAGCATGACGTTGTGGGAGGCACTGCTCACAATTCAGCAAAATCCCTGTTTGATGGCATAATACGCATTGACTCATCTTTTATCTACTGCTAGGAGATATACAATGAGATCTTATCATTCCAGGCAAAGGAATGAAGGTTGAGAATTTTGTGCAACCAACAACCCACTCATTTGATTTTCAAGCATGTTATGACAAGCAGGACTGACTGCGTAATACAGTCACTGCAGAGTCACCAGTAATAGGCCAGGGCCAGATCTGAATCCTTGTGAAGAAACTTGGATTTTTATAGCTATGGATATAAGTTTTTGATTTTTAATTCTTATCAAAAAAAGTCTTGACTGACATGTTGTGAAGACTATAAGCGGATCGCAAACCAAAGCTCATGAGTGTTCTCGTTTGAAACACAGAAAAAGTCTGCACACTAAAAAGATATTTGCCGGGTCATAGATAAATTTAAAAAATAAGAGTATTTATTTTTTTTTGCTCTTCATTTGACAAACTCCACTGAAGGAACACAGACATAAACCAAGGTTTACAGTGAAATACCAACCATGGATAAAACAAACCTCAGGATCTGCCTGACTGTATTCATATTATCTATAGTTGTGGTTTTCTGGCTTATTCCTTAATGACAAAATTGTCATAAAAATAAACCAAATCTACATTCCTTCTGCATGCATATTTCCATTGATTTCACTTTAGGAATTTGACCATCTTTGTGTATACATACTATTAAATTGCAGTTCCATTAGCAAATTAAATAATCATGTATTAAAAGGAAGGAAAAACTGAAGGACTGGTTTTCTTGTGTAAATTTGCGAAGTTGATCTGGCAAAGTATGTGTTCTGACACAAGTCGCACTGGATCAACAGAAATGTCAGTTAAAAAAGAAAGACCACAGAAAGACTACAGAGAGACACACAGAAATAAGGTCAAATACCAGAAAGCTTGGACACTAGTAGAGAAGAGAGAATAAAGTAGAACAAGCAAAGCAGTTGGGACTGTGAATTTTAGGTTGTTAAAGTGCTCATTATCAAAAGCTGGCCCACAAATCTTGAGAAACTCAAACTCCAGTTGGTTTCAGTGATCATCACAACTGAAATTTTATTATAATACAATGTGTTTTTTTTAACAGATGGTGCATTTCAAGCTGTTAGTTTGGGTCACCTGCAACACTCTTAATGAATGTGGGTAACAAGCACTAATAACAAAAGCGATGAAGTCTTTATTACATTCAAAATATCATCACTCATTCTAGATTTACTTCTTATATCATTTTATAGATGATAGTAAAGTCATAATGTGCAGCTGTTAGCTTTATAGGGAAAAATAAAAAGCAACAAAAATGATGATAGTTGAGGATGTGTCAGAAAGAAATAAAAAATGCTCTCTGAGTAATCATTGAATTAATGGTTCTTTACTGCAACAGTTGGTGGGACAATGTTATAATCTTTACAGTAAAAATAACTGGAAAAAGCATAAAAGAATTCAAAAAATGACTAAAGGACTTTTAATATAGGCAACCATTGTATATCTGCACAGGTCATAGATTTGCCAAACTTCAAGATGAACAATAAGAAAAATGGAAAAGAATTAGAGTATCCGTAGTAGACAGCATTAGTTTCATTGACTTATTGAGGACATTCATCATTTTTTTCTTGTCATTGCAATGCAATCTTTGTTGTAAATCTTGGTTTATTTTAGCACTGATCAGCCATGTACGTTGCCAACATGACTGATCGACACTTAACAGAATTGATGGATATCAGTGACCTTTTGGGAATGTGCCCTCTCACTGCTGTTTCTGTCATTGTCTCAGCAATAGTCTCTGGTTGGTTACTGAAAAGACACTAGATGGTAAACACTTTGAAACTAATTAATCTGAGGAAATTGAATACTTGATTTGTATTGATTGTGCAAATGTCATTGCTTTGTTCTTCAAGAGCACTTTGCAGAATGTCATATAAAGTTATATTAATCACTGAAGAAATACATGTACTTTAGAATAAACAGTAGAGGAAATACAGACATTATTTAGGTTTTCATCTCTTAGTTTTGTTGTAACCATGTTCTAATGAAATTATCAGTGAATGAGAATCAACAGCACCCAAATGTAATTTTTCTCCATAACATATTCTCTGTTTGATTCCTGAGAAGGAGAAACCTGATTTTAACATTATTTAAACTATACTGCCTTGTATATGATGAGGCCTAACTTTTTTTTCTTTTTTTCATTGAAAATTGCGAAACGACAATATTTCCTGAATCAATATACAGTTTCCAGGAGAAATGTCCTACTTTTAAGGAAAGTAATTTTTTTTTTTTTTTTTTTTTTAAATCCAGAGCCACAAAAGGCAGAATCATACCTCTATGAGTTCAAACTAAGAGAGATGAAAAAATTACAAAGGCTTCTGACAGCTATATTATAAAAAAAAAAAAAAAAAAAAAAAAAAAAAAAAAGATCAGATACAGATGACAGCAAAGCATTTCTAGCCAAGAGAGTTCTAAGACAAGTTAGGCAGTCAATCATTTGCATCACTCGCTATTCAGAAAGTCGACATTCAACATCTGAATCAGTCATTACAATGTAAAGAGAATTAGTAAAGTCTAACAAAATGCAAATAAGTGAACTGGAGGACAATACAGTCAAATTCTAAAACTTGGCAGGAAGCCAGAAGAATTATTTTGACAAGAATGCTTGGGATTATTTGATTTCTTCTTGTTACCTCAAAAAAAAAAGAAAAAAAAAAGAAAAAAAAAAAGTCTCAAGCCGTACAAATTTTATAGAGTGAAAATGTATAGTTATATTTAGCCAGTTAAAAACTAAGAGAATGAGGAACAAAATTTATTGTGTGATCTGATATGTTGCTCCACTTTAACATCAGTGAACTATTTGATTCTAGAGGGAGGTTTTTTACAATAGTGGGGCAAATCTGGGCTGAAGAATGAACATTCTTATGGTTATATTCATCGAATGTGTTGCCTTTTAATTCTCTCCACATTAGCCTTTATAGAATATCTGCTTCAAAATCCACCTGATATATGCAAATGTGAAAAATAGATTTAACATCTCTGGGATTACTGAGCTGGAGATGGTGAAATTCTGTGAAACAATCTTCAACTAACAACTTTGTTGTCCTGGTTACAGTAAAAGAAGGGGAAAAAAGAATAATAATTCTGAAAAAAATATTAATCAAAAGCTTCTTCTATAACAGCAGCTTCACCTTCATTTTTATCTGCATAGAGTATGTTATCATTTACTCAATAAGTAATTGAATCAGTGGTGGAAAATTGAAGTGAACTTGTTGAAAACTAAGAAGTCACAGCAGGTAGCTGCACCACTAGGCAGAAGCTAGACATTTAACAGCTGCTCTTAAGTAGAAAGACAGACGTCTTTGCCTTGGCAGAGCTTGGTCATGACGCATATGTTAGCTGCCTGGAGGTCTGACCATGTCCTCTCTTGGAGTGCTCCAAGCCCTTGGATTCAAATGTATCTGATTCCTCTCATCTGTCCCCATGGGTGTTGTGTGAGGAGATGTTTTGGCATCGATGCAACTGCTTCTGTGCCTAAAACTGTACTTGGTTCTGTGTATCACAAGGCCAGGGCTTGAACCATGTAGGATTTCTCATCATGGAGAAAGTTTCTTATCAGTATCTTACTAGTACATGACTTGAAATGATAAAGTTGACTTTGGTCCCAATATAATGTAGGTAGACAGGACTGAAGAAAGAGTGCTTTCATGAAAGATTATACTAGTACATTCTGCATTATTGTATTGGAAAATATTTTACAGCACTTTCAGGCAAATGAATTTATCTTTGTTAATCCTTTTGTATAGCCCAGAGGAATCCTGTGGATTCTTGCACTTAAATTAATCCTGTTCTTGGCATGTTCTGGGAGGAGTATGAGGACTAGAAAATTATTCTTAAGTTTAAAAAGAAGTAACATTAACTTATCTAGTTTTATTCCTGTGATGGATAAGTACACAACTCCCAGTATCATTAAGCTGAGATGATAGTAATACACAGAAAAAGATTGTGTGTGTCTTCTTAAGTCATCAGGTAGTCTTTCTTATCCTCTTTCTCACAACTTACAGATGTGTGAAGCAACTCTGTATGTTAGAATTATGAGACTTCATGTTTAAATGTGTTTTTTATCAGCTGATCATCCTCAGCTTCGTGCTTGTAAATCTCACTGATTGAACAAAGCTGAATTTTGTCCAGCAGTTGATTAGTAACATGGATAGAATTTTGACTATCTAAAATCTCATACACAATTTTAATTAATTTATGACCTTTGTTTGTGTAGAGCTGAATCTCAGTAGCAGTCTGAGTGCGAATACTTGAGATAATAATAATACTCACAGGTCCAATCATATAATACTTTCACAGATTTTCATTCCGTAATAATAAATTAAAAAAAATAATAATCCATACAAGTCAAAATATAAGTCTGTATTCTATTTGACCAGATTAAAATAGAAAACTTTATCTTTATCTTGCAGAAATGTTGGAATCCAATAATATAGTCAATTTCAATGGACTGGCTAATAGTTCCAGTTATCATACTTTCCTCTTGGATGAAGAACGAAGTCGGCTGTATGTTGGAGCAAAAGACCACATATTTTCTTTCAACCTGGTTAACATCAAGGAATATCAAAAGGTACAGTTAGTCATGTTTTATATGTCTTATATGTTTTATATGTTTCACAGTTTTGTATAGAACTATATGACTTACGTAGTAATTGTCTGTATATCAGGAATACTACTATGGCTAAACAGCCAAACATTTGTCAACTCTATGAAGAGAAACATTATGAGCCTTTAAGTGTTGAATCATTTTTATTTTCCCAAACTATGAAAATTTAAATCATAAATGAATAATCCAGCTAATTCGCAAACAAGATATGCTTTGTCTTTGTTTAAAACCAAACAAAAATACAATTATTAAAGTCTACAAAAAAGGCCTAATTTCTTCATTTGCAGATAGAAATATTCTATTCATGAGTCTGTGTTGTATTTTTATCTTTAATCCAGCACTTTAAAGCACTTTGCTCCTGCTTATAGATTAAGTATTAAAAAAAAGAGAAATAGATTTGTACAAGCTTGGCATTCTTGAAGAGAAGTATAATTTTACAGTAAAAGTTGGAGACATTAAAATCTGACAAATATTTTAGCCATGTTCTGGAATATGCTTCCTTGGGGCCTAAATAAAACATTTTCTTTTCTTATTTTCTTTAATGTTACAAAATACTAAAAAGGTAAACAATGGGACAGAAGTTTGATTTGTTATATTTAAGCATTTTGAAGGCACATTTTCAAATACAGGGAGTACTCTTTTATGAGAGATATATTGCTTCAATACCGGGGGATTTTTTTCTTGGTGTTCCTGACCTTTTGCCCGTTCCACTATTAGCTTCCTAAGGTGATAGCAATAAATACCTTGTGTTTTTTGTTCATAGAGAAGACAGGTTATTCATTTGTATTCTCTAAGGAGAAAGGATAAAAGGAAAACTGTGTATTTTCTTTTCTATTCTCTTTAGAGCAGCTATAAAGGAAACTAGCTATTTATTTGAATTCTCTGAGGGATTCATAGTTTAATGTGCAAAACATCTGGAGTAATTAAAGGAAACAAGGTGTTTCCATTGCAGAAAACTGTTCTGTAGAACGACAGGGGTTGTATTTTACTTACTTTGCTATTCAGATATGTTTAGAACACTATTTGAAATTCTATACAAATATTATTGTATTATATAAAGAATTGCTGTTGATTATATGGAACTTAAATAAGAGACAGACTTTAGATTTAAGAATAAACAAAATTCTTCAAAAATTTTGGGGTCTGCTTATTGAGGACAGGAGGGACACTGAAGAAACTTCAATCAAAGTAACAACTAAGTTGGTACTGCAATTAAATTTCATCTTTCAGCATATTAAAATTAAGTCCAATCCAACCAGGCATTGAACAGTTCCAGGGATGGGACATCCATGACTTCCTTTGACAACCTCTTCTGGTGCCTATAAGGACTAAGGAATTTATTCCCTGTATATAATCTAATTCTACCCTCTTTGTGATTAAAGATGTTACCCCTTGTACTATCAATACTTACCCTTGTAAAATGTCCCTTTCCAGCTTGCTTGTAAGTAACTTAATGTCTTCCCAGAGTCTTTCTCTTCTTCAGTTTGAACAACCCTAACTCACCCTGTCTTTATAGGAGAGGTGCTCCAGCCATCTTTGTGGCCCTTCCTCTCAACTCTCGATTTCCTTCCAGGCTATCTGTCCTTGCTTCCAGCCTCTGCAGGTTTCTGTTTTGTGCTTGAGTATGTCCTTGTTCATCCATGCAGTCCTCCTGGAGTTGCCCGACTTCCTTCCATTGCTTAAAAATGGTTCAATTTTGCTGACATTTAAACCAGAATAGAGAAAATACCATGGTGTAAGAATCAGGAAAAAGAACAGCTAACCATTCATTTAATAGATTAAAATATTGCTTTAATTAACATAAGAATCTTTGCCCAAAACTTGATCTGAACTTGACCTGGTCCTTCTGGGGGATCTGAGAAATTTTGTTAATGTTTTTTCAACCTAGTAAATTTTTATTTTTACATCTCTTGGTATTTTAAGCTGGGCATAGAAACAGGAAGTAGAAGGAATCCTTGGAGAGACAATGTGCTTATAGAATTTTCAACATTATTGTATAGACCTCAGACAATCAATTTCTGTTTTCTGATTTTATTATATTTTAAGAAAATTCCAGATTTAAAAACACAGTTGGAAACTGTATTTTTGAATGACACATATAACATCTTCTTCATCCTCTTTTGTCACTCATATCCATTATTTTTCTGTTTCTGTTTTGTTTCTTTTTGAATACTTTCCTTTTTACTTTCTTTTGACAAACACTATTGAACACCATGATTGTAATTCAGACTTATGGCCATTTATATTGCATTATCTGAGACTCCCAAATGAGCAGCCTGCCATTTTATGTGAAGATCATGTTTTATTCTATATGTAATTCCTAAAAGCTTTTCAAAACAAAACAAAACAAACAAACAAACAAACAAAAACCCCAAAATAATAATAATTAATAAAAAACAACAAAGCCTTGAATAATTGACTGTGAGGGGTCTCCATTTTCTCCATTTTCTGCAAAGCAAACACTACAGTAAACCTATGTTTAAGTTTTTGCATATTTGAGTAGCTCAGTTTGAACAGAATAAACATTTCTGTTTCAATGGTGTGATACTTTTCAAATATCACAGCTTTTTTTAATTATTTAATTAACTAAATCAAGAAAAATACAGAACTAGTAATGACACTGAAGAGGCCAATGTCTCATTTACAATGCTGTAGCTGTAATCTGGGATTGTATTTCACATAGATCAGATTTACTTCTAGGAACTATCTGAAATTTTTGGCTCTGAGTCTCCATTTCATTATGTCAGATTTAAAAGTGGAAGAATACTCACTTAATAGAGTCAACTCTCCATTCATATTCAAGATTTGCTGCTGAGGTCATAATATAGATTATATTTCAAGATTGTTTTTACTGTGATTCTTATCATCTCTATTTTGCTCCTATCATTTCAATTCTTTGTTGACAAATTTTGTCAAAGTAGAGGAAATAAGAATGAACAGAAGACAAAATGAGTGAAGACACTCTGTAACACTTGGTCTGCAGTTTGTGATAACTGAAGCATGAAATAACGTGATTTTTTGCTCTATGTCTTTAGATTACTTGGCCTGTATCTCATTCCCGAAGGGATGAGTGCAAGTGGGCTGGAAAAGATATTCTGGTAAGTACAAATCTCTTTAGCATTTTTTTTTTCTTTTATAAAACATTCTAAATGTTTTATTAGATTTTATTGTGTTCATTCTTAAACTATAAGGCCGCATATCTGAGCTACTTCAAACTTCTTAATTCTATACAATTAAATTTTACCTTTATGACTAGAGGCAAGTTTTTAAGTGGAAATCATAGGAATGAAATTAAGTTTTGTAAGGAAAAATGAAAGTTTATTCTCAAGAAAAAGAAGGGAAAGGAGACATCAGCATGAGAAATATTAACCCTTGCATAATGTTCTTCTGATCTCAGGTTACTGACGTTCTGCTTTATTTTTGTATTCATGAAGGTTTCAAACCCGCAATGATTCCCAAGCACTTCTTTCTCTTTCTGGCATCCCACTGTCTCACTGAAGTCAGCAGTTTTCCCTAAAATCTTTTTTTTTTTTTTTTTTTTTTTTTGCATTGAGTACTTAGCAAGATCATGATCAAAATGGTTTTAATATTCCATATTTGGTACCCCCGGATAGACACAGTTACACTAGACACAATTTTCTGTACATTTTCCCACATTCCTCTGTATGTCTGTATGTCTTATTCCCTGTATTTTATGAGGTAGGACAGGAATAGCCAATGTCCTCTAAATAATACTCATTCCTCACTGAGAATAACTGTTGCCTTTATAACAAATGTATGGGAAATGGGAAGACAGGGCTGGAAAGAAAGGAAAATGGAAGAAAATAAACCAAATAAATACTTGCATAGCATACTCAAATGAGAAATCACTGTGATTGCCAACAACTGAGAGTAGAAGTTGGCCTTGTGTGTATATGCTATTGGCCTGATTTTCAGGGATGATTCTGTAAAATATTCATAATGCCATCCACATGCCTCTAGAGAGCTCCATCTGAATAATTTCCTAGGTCACAATAAACATAATTTCATCATTCTTTACCTAAGACAGAGGGGACACTGTCTTCATTAAAAGCTATTTGGGAACAGTAGAGGATCTAGGTAAAAAGCTAAGAACTGTGGGATAAACTATATATGTGAAAGGGCAACTGCAGTGTCTGATACTCAAGTTACCTCATTTGATAGAAATAAAATGTTTAAATTAATTCTACTTAGTGTTAAATTATTTTCAGACCATTAAAAATGAGGACTAGACTGTCTAATTTTCAAGGTTAAAAAAAAGGTTAATGTTAAATATTTAAAAATAAGGTAAAAATTCTGGACAAATTAACTAACCTTGCATCTTGATCTTATTCTAAATATTACGATATTACATGAAGTATATATATATATATATATATCATTATAGCTTTTGGTGAAATCTAGAAAAGTAACAAGAGATTCCCATTCTCCTACTGCTGTAAGAATGGGAGGTCTATTTATACTGTAACTAATTTACCCATCTTTAATCTTTTGCATCCTATGGTGTTAAGGCAGCTGCATCCACTAATCATAAGTAAAAGTGGTAGCCAATACGTTACCATAATGCTGTGTATGACCTGGCACATTATCTGCCTGCTATGAACCTATGCAGTAGAAGCAGCACACTCACGAGTTGATGGAAGAGGATAATGAAAAACATGAGCACAGCACTGAGGAAAAAATGTGAGATAATAGTAGCACAGCAGTACAGAAAACTATTGGAAGAACCAGATAATTCATTTTGGAAAATACTTTTCACATACTTGGGTTGTTAGGGATGATGTTTTTTGTTTTTTGTTTTTTGTTTTGTTTTGTTTTGTTTTTTTTTTTTTTTTTTGCTACTGGTATTTTTATTTATTTTTATTTATTATTTTCATTAGGTCTGCTCCAAAAGTAATGCCTCCTATTTTATTATGTTGACCCACAATGTCAGAGTCTTACATTGGTGGTGTGGCACTAGATGTTGAACATTTCCACCAATATTCCATTACATTTTATTGCCATATGACAGATGGTAGCTGAAGCATAGTCTGACAGAATGGTGCCGGACATGAAAGTGCATATGAAGAAAAGGTGCGTAATGTAATTCCTCCATGCAGAAAAAATTGCACTCATTGACATCCATGGACTCTTGATGAAGATTTGTGGAGCCCAACCAGTGGATGTGGGCACAGTGAGGCAATGAGTGGAGCATTTCTTCAGTGGCAACAGTGAAAGAAAGAGAAACCACATTCCGGATGGTGATGCTCTCACATCACTAAATGAAGGGTGTCTTGATCAACCCATTCATGTGAATTGGCAGATAACAACCAGGGAAGTTGAATATGAAATCAAATACTGGCTTCATTGTATTGGAAAGTGTATGGTAGCAATGTTGGAATATCACAAAGCTTGTACCAGATGAGTCCAATGAATGCACACACGGAAACAGAAAGAACACTGTATGCAAGTCCATCAGGGCCTATTGAGCCAAAATGAGGATGGAGGTGACAGTCTCCTGGGTTGCACCATTACTCATGACAAGGTGTGGTGCCGCCACCACAAATCAGTGTCAAAATGACAGTCCATAGAGTCGTGATATGTGAATTCTGATTTTCATGTTTAGGCTGATGAAAAATGGACTGTGTGGGCAACATTTTCCTAGCAACTGTGAAACAGTGGGTCACCTCTGATGGTACAGGCTTTTAGAAAACATGGCATGCAGTCTCTTGTTCATTGCTAGTGAAAATGCATATCTAATGGTGGTGGCTATGTTGAAAAAAAAATGTTTTGAGGTTGAGAACTTGCTCTATCAAGTAGTTTTACTGTGCTCTTTGTATCTGTTGTAGTTTCCACGGAAATAGATAAGAGGCATTACTTATAGAGTGACCTACGTATATTTTGGTCTGCTCAGGTCATCATCTTGGAATATTTACAGCTTCCTTTTATTGCTATAATACAATATACTACTAATAAAGTATTTAGAATAACTTCTTCAGCTGTAATTAGAGATAAAGACCATTTAAGGAACTTATTATTCCTTCATTTATGCCTTAAAACCATTGTCAGTGCCTTGGGAGTGTGAAATATAAAGGCCATAAAAATAACTCAACAGTCTCTCATTAGTGAGAACAAGAGAAATAGAGGACAAATTAAGTGCCCTATGAAAGATGCTTGATTTAACATTGCTTTCAGCAACGTACCACTGCTAAGATATTAAATACTCCTCACTTGTGATGGTTCAAAACTTTTCAAATGACAGTCTGTACTTTTGCGTTGAGATACTTTAAAAAAAAAAATAAAATTATTGATCTCCAGGGGAAACGAGTGGTGAAAATGCAAGTCCTCACTAATAGGCCAGGTGCACTGCAGCAGCTGCAGTGCAAGTACAACCTTGTCTCTGCCCTGCTCCTAACCTCGGCTCTGACCTCAGAGATTTCCTCTCATAATTATAAGAGGTAATTTACCATCATTTTTACTCCTTCAGAGGGATTCCTTGCACTGACACTGTCGGTCATGTTGATCTGGGTGCAGCAGACTTGCAGTACAGGCAGCTGGCTTGGGATTCAAGGAGGGTGGCCTACTTGAACTGCTCTCATGCTTCTGGACTCTGTTCCTCAAGAAGTCTTTCTCGTTCTTATTTCTTAGCTGCTATTTATTAAAGGGCTTAGTGTATGTTAATTAATTAACATTAACAATATATAGATAAATATTTTTAAAATATGCTTTGGATTTCTTTCCCTGTAAGGGAGAAAGAAAGCTGAAAGATTTAGCCCAACTATGCAATAGATCAGGACTTCTCTGATAGAAGTTAACTCTTAACTTTTCACAAATTATAAATTAAAAATAACAAAAGCAGAAAAGTAATATTGCTTATGAGAAATTAAAAGCTCTAAATAACAAGTATAATGTTTGCTTATGTAATCCAACTAAATGAGCAGTTCTTTGAGAATTTCTCACTGCTCTGGAACTCAGTCTCTCATTTGATCTATTCACCTATTCTAGTTTTTTTAAGTCCTGTAACTATTTCCAATGATTCCTGACTAGACGTTGGTACTGATTAAAGAAGGCAGGATGTCTATGGGATGTTTCTCAGCTCAACTTTTATGCTGAAACTTACAAGTGTGGACATGCTCATAGTCACATCCCTCCCTAGTGAGCCTCAATACTTTTTTGTCAAGATCTAACAGGCACCTGTGATCCAGCACGAACACATGGCAACCCCTGTATTACATATGGGTTAAATAATTGGAAACCTTGAAAACCTTGAATATGTGTATCTGAAGTGCACATTAGGATGTTGTTTTCAAGAGTGATTTGTCTATCTAATTTATTTAACTGTCCTTATATATCCCAGCCTAAATTAAATTTTGAAATGGTACCATACCTAAATCTTTAAATTTCAATGGATACTTTAAGAAAGTCATGTAGGACAAACTAGATGATGACAGATACTTTGTATTCAGTATGATTTTTCTAGTGAGAATTGGATATTGGTATACAATGAGATACAAAGAGTACCAAGCTATTTTACTTTGCACTAGCAAGATTCCTCATGCATTCTCTCAAATGAACAGCTATATTTGTACTGAGAGTTAGACTTCGATGTCACTGAATGCAATAGCTAAGCTGTGTCAGCACAGTTGTGTGTATTAACACTGACTATATTATAATTTGTATGAGGCTGATATCTACTTGAGCTGTTTAATTGTCATTAGACTTCAGCTATTTAACAGTTACATGAATTCAGCTGTGATCAGCTTTTATTATTGATAGCGTTTTAGGCAGTATTTTAGAAGACCTTCAAATCAGAACCATTTTCCTATTAAAGGTGCAGTAGACTCTTTACAGGACATACAGTATAGCTATATTCTATGTCTGCATCTCTGCATTTTAGTGTGGTATAATCATTGAGTTATCATTATGATTCATGTACATAGAATCACATAACTGTAATTTAGTTCACCATGTCTTTCATAAAGATAATACTCAAGTCAAAATGTTCATGTATATCCTAAGTTTTTGCATTCTTTAAAGTTTTTCAGATATTCCCTAAATCTTAGGAAAACAAACAGTTCTAAAGCCATCATTGTGCAACAAC